CCAAAGGTGACGACAGCTGTGCTTCTGGTGACATATTTTCACTTTGAGACAATTCTGGTCGTGTCTCTCTCCAATCAACATTGAACAAAATGACAGTTGTCCCAAACTGAAATATCCACGAGTAACCCATTCTATGGCACGTTCAAATGCCGCGCCTACTCCTTTTCAGCCATGAGGGGATACATTATGAGCGTTTAACCAAAACAGCATTTCCCACGACTCTATTTTCCTCTGCTACTTTCGATTTCAAATGAGAGTCAGGTTGAACTGACGCATGTCAGGAATGCCGAAGCGTCAATATCGTGATTTGAAGTTTCTCATTTTTTTCCTGCTGCGAATGGACGAATACTGCCCAGGGTACAGCATGGGGATGTGTCAAATGGCGGTGTGGGTACGACCCTCCCCCCCCCTCGAAGAGGGGCCAGACACGACCCCCCCCCCTCCTGCTCTAAATTGACAACCAGATGCATGTTCACCACAAATGACTTCCTGAAATGGAATCTGGATTCTCGAAAGGCGCACTCTGCTCTAAAATACAGGAAATAAAAGGCTGTTTCAGCCTCATGCAATATGAGGCTGAAGCCTCGCATTACCTACAATTTTGTCTTAGGATTCAAAATAAAACTCCTCGTTCGATAATTATGTATGACATGCAACTTGTATAAAAAAAAAAAAAAAAAAAAAAAAAAAAAAAAAAAAAAAAAAAAAAAAAAAAAAAAAAAAAAAAAAAAAAAATTGAAATAGCGGCTAATGGTGATCATTGATAGGCTGAATTGGTGAAAAAAATAGCCCCAAGGTGAGCGTGTCAGGGCCCAGATGTGCATTCAATGAATGGTGACGGGGAAATAATGAAAACATGCACGACACAACAAAGCGAAACATGGAAAATACAAAAAATGCAGAGCTAAATGAAAAAAGGATAACCAGGCCGGCAGTAAATCGTTCCATACTTGGCTATTATCGATCAGGCTGCAGGGCGCAAGGCTGCGACCGCTTTCTTTGGAAAAACGTCATTGGAGCGCGGTTGTTGGACTTGCCAACGTCCTGGGGTCTGTTCGCGGGGGTTCATAGTCTGTGTGTGAGGTGCGGGAGCCCTTTTTGAGGAATGGTGAGCAGCATGCAACGGCAAAGTTTCTACTGTTGCGTATTCTACCTAGTTGCAAACTGAACAATCCCCCGTTGGTGAAATATTCCGGATGGGTCACGGTTCGGCCAGGGGTAAATCGCGAGCTGGTTTCCATGATTCACACAAGGACTGCTTCGTTCAAACGCAATTTCATCAGGATTAAAAACGTCCTGAAACCCCTCCATCCTTTCTCTTTCCAACAAGCTTCACGGTTTTTCTGAAGACCCACTAGTTCAGGAGATATTTTAGATGGGTTACCCTTGCGCTACCCCCTGGACCACCCGAAAAATTGACTCCTTATGTGCCATTGTGAGGATACACCTTTCAGTGTGCCTCCAAAATACATATTTCCCTTCAAATGAGTGGAAGAGGAGCTCGGCTATCACTAATCGGTTTGGTCCGTGCGCCGTGCATTAGGCTCCTACGGAGGTGGTGGAGGTGTAAATTCTAATTTCAGGTGCTTTTATCCATGCAAGCAGATGTTTGTTTAGGGTTTGTAAAGGACAACACGCACGAATCTGTTTGAGACGTATTATTTAGTCATCTACGTACTTACGAGTTCATGCTATAAACTGACACTTATTTATTTATTTATTTATTCTTGCTATATTGCTAATAAATCTTTTATTATTTTGTATTCCTATTTACATCCGGGTCTTCTGAAGCTTTCCGTCCGTTCCATTACCCTTAGCAATGACACCTTTGTACTGTTTGATGCCTAGCGAGCCTACTTTTGCGATACTCCCCACGTCCCCGGCCAAGTACGAACCCATTCTTGGGGATTTCCCATGAAAAGAGGGCTGTTAACGTAGCATTTAAAGCTGTAAAGAATACACTCATAATAAACTTCATTTTTTTTTAAACATCTTGACTTCCATAGCTCCACTCCCACTATCAACTGAAATGTCGAAGCATTGCTCGGCTCTGAGTGACCCTTGAGATTACGACCCCCCCCCCTCCCCAGCGGCCAAGTACGACCCCCCTATGGGTTTCGCACAACGATGCTGTACCCTGATACTGCCTTGGCGCGCAGATTCCCTTTCTCATGAGGCCATAACTTTTTCACATATACACACACATCTTTTGGAGGAGGTTTAGGAAATATTGGGAACTGCTTGGCTGGCGCTTTTCAATATGCGAAATTTCCTTCCTTTTTCCTCTTTTTCCTATTTCCTATACAGCTTAATCACGTAGCGATTTGCAATTAGAAAGAGTATAGATTCCGGATGTAGAATCAAGTATTTCTGTTTCATTCCCCATATCCTCCTTCCAGAACCCGCGGAGTTATCACAGGATATGTTTTTCACATGTAGTTAATGTCACTTGATGGGTAGAGGGAATTGGTAGACTCAGCGGTGGGTTGCGCCACGCACAAGACCTCGCTCACAATCCTATTAACAATTAAAGTCATTTTAGTTAACGAAACAGTTTCCTGTCTCTCGTAACACAATCCCTGCAGTGAAGAGCGCGAAGCTCTTTTGCGATGATACATATCGTAAGAGACATTGCTACTTGTAACGCTTATTCAGCACACACATTGTCACAGTTCTGTTGACTTCTGATTCCTCCAAATACGACCCCTACCCCTCCAGCAAAGCCAGATACGACTCTCCCGTTGAGCATTTCCGAACTGATGCTTTACCCTGCTCTGAATGCTTTCGCTATGGGTCGAAAAAGCCATATCATGAAGGACTCAGCACCAACTGAGCAGGAGAAGGCGAGAGCTCGGGCGGATCGAGTGAGCAACGAAGAAGGCGAGAAGGCCATGGAGACCCTGCCGGGCTCAGCTCGAGCTATATTAGCGCCATCGACGGAAGTCACATCAGCTCAAGTTTTCACAGTCAGTAGGACTTGTAGTGAAGGGGTTATATTGAAGAGTTTCGCATTTCTCGAGCCATACAAGTGCCCGCCGGTAAGACATTCCTTCATACCGTTCGAGAAATTATCTTGAATGGTACCACTAACTACTGATCACCTGTCATAGCATAGTACATTTCAGTCTAAAGAATGAACAGAACGTCAGTGAAGCATCGCGCATTCACCGTTGAACCGATGCGTGATAAAGGAATCACTTCCGTACCTGGAATTGGGTCGGCATATAGTGCTAAACTTTCTGAAGCTGGATTCAGTAAGGTAAATTACCTGTTTATTAGTGCAGTTCTTGTTCTCAGTCCTCGGTCTACTCACCGACCGCTTCAGGCTACTAATCTCTACGGACAATACTTGGTACTTGATAGAAACGAGGAAGCATTTACGGGATGGTTGAAGGTAGGTTCATTTCAAGTAACTTTATGACTTTTGAAAAATGAAACATCTGATTTGGCAAACCATTTGTGATGTTTATATCATTGTTATTTTGTATATAATTTACTCCTTGGATTGAAAGAAATGAATTGAGCCCATACATGATTAACACTGCGTCGAGGAATGAGGTTCTAGCGCCCATATGCTTTCAAATGAACCAGATTTTGCTGTTCCCCTATTTTTATTACATTACAGGATATTCTCCTCACTAATCCTTTTTCTTCACAGGATTATAAGTTCAGAAAAAGAGGCGGTATAGAGTATCCTCAAAAATTGCGCGTGAAACCAAATGCTCGTTTCCGTGAATGCACCCAGTCGAGCATACTACAAGGCGGCTAACTTACCTAAGGTTATCAGCCGTGTTATACAACTCTGCATCTGAAAAAAACCAGGTGCTCATGCACATCTTGCCCTGCAGAGGTGGGATTGGCTTCTAGAGTTTCCCCTTTTTCTAGTTTCTAAAACTTGGTTTCTTGTGCACGCCGGTGTTACAATTATACCTCGGGAATGTGGGATACTCAGTTCGGAAGAACGTGCGCAAGGGGTATCGTTCTAGAAAGAGGGCACGCCGTTGTTGTGGAAATCACTACGAGGAGGTCGTATTTGACCGCGAAGGAGAAGTGGCGGAGGGGGGTGACGCATGCGTTGGGCTCATTCAGAACTGGAAAGGGCAGCAATACAGAGATGACGTATAATCACTGGTCAAAAGAATATTAATTGTTGTTCTTACTGTAAACCTAAAGAGAGACCTGATGATTAAGGAAGTTGCAAGCTCAGAAGCGAGGAACTAACGACAACAATTCGGTAGGCTTCCACGACGAGGTCATGAATTAATAAATAAACGAAACGCATTATTTGTTTGAACGGCACTGAACGGCAGAAGAGCACATTTGTGTGCACGGAAAAGCTTTGTCTATGATACACCTTTCCAATACTCTTGCATGGGAGCCGGATGCATGGCGCAGTACAGAGTGAATGTTAATCCCTGTGTATTGCCAATGCCAACTCCTTCGAGCGAGCTTTTTCCCAACAATTTCGATTTCAAAGAGGTGTTCTACAAGCTTACGCAAGTCTTCGAACAAACTGGAAAGGATACTGCGCGTTTTTTGCGCCGTCCAAAACTTTTTATAACAAAATCACAATGGGTAGGTTTTTTTTGAATGGTGGGAATGAGAAAAAGGTGAGCAGCTTTCTCGGAAGCGGAAGTCTTCCAGATTCCGATGCTTGATTATTTTCTAAGAGTTCACACGTGGAAAAAGTTATGGTTGTTCAGAACATGACAACTCGTGACACCAAAATGTTACAGCGAGGTGACGACGGGGAAAGTTTCTCAGAGAAGGGGGATTTGAATGCGTTGGAGCACGATTCATGAACTACAAACCCAGAGCTTCATAATGCTGCTACTGCTCTTCAGATGCTCCATTCTCAGAAAAGTTATTGATCTTCAAAGGAAGTGTCCTGCGGAGCCCGCCTATTTTGCAACACACCTCGCAAAATAGCTCGCCTGATTGTGGGTACAACAGGGGAAAGGCGTTGTGAAGGCTCGCGCACAATCTGAATGCACGCGAGTATTTGGAATACAACTGTCGCTTCCGGAGGGAAGGGGATCGTATCTAACAGAAGTTTATCCATACGCGATGGTGCACCCATTTGGAGAATCCGCGGTCGCAGAATGCGGGAATTGGGGAAGGGGCGATGCGCTACTGTACGGGGGTATTTGACCGTCTCAGGGCACATGTCAACCGGAAAGCTTCTCTCCTCCTTCCTTTTTTCTCCCTCCTTCCTTCTTTTTCTTCCTTCCTTCTCTGATCCCTCCTCCTTTACCTTCCCCTTCAACTGCTGGACTGGTAGATGCCCCGTGAAATTAGCCCTGGACCCTCGCAGCGAGAGATCGTCTGGTTGACATCTGCCCTGTAACCGTATTTGACGTTCTGGGGTATCCAGCCATACGAGATGCGGTGAGAGGGGCATTGCAAATGGTATTACGTTATTCTCATCAGGACCTACTTGATTCAGCGTGGTAATGCAGCAGTAGGTCAGGTCGACCACTGAGGCAATACTATGTCCATTTGCTCTCGGTGACGCATGTTGCGTGCCCTAAACCACAGCGATTGATCGATACTTGTAGTTTTCTTGCTGCACATTTCTCAGAATCACGCATTTTCCTGAGATGTAAGTTCTAGGTGTTCGTAAGGCCTGAAGGCCTCTTTCTGAAGCGCGCTTACTGCTCTATCGGCTCCATGTTTCTTTTCTCAAAGAGACTGAAGATGCGGTTGCGCTTGAACTGAAACGACTGAAGTTCTCATTAAGATGCGTTCATACTTCGTGGCAGCGTCCATCAGCGTTCCGAGCGTCCGGCAGCGTTAGCGACTAGGAAAGTATAGATGTCAGATCTAGCGTCTAACGGCGTCTACCAACGTCCACCAGCGACCGGCAGCAGGTGGTCCTGGGTATGGAGGCATAAGGAGGACACCAGTTGTCTGCTACCGTCCTATCGCACCATACTCTCACTACTACTACTCTAGCAACAATCTGTTACATTATTATCTCCCATAGTCTACCAGCTGTCTGCTACCCTTAGGCTCCGTACTCTCCACTCCTGGACGTAGCTTGTCGCTGCTAGGCCCTGGCAGACCTCGGTCGATACCTATACTTCCCTAGCCCTCGAGACGCTGCTGGTCGCTGATGGACGCTGGCAGACGCTAGATCGATATTCATACTTTCTTAGTCGCTGACGCTGCCGAACGCTCGGAACGCTGGTGGACGCTGCTGCAAAGTATGAATGCAGCCTTACAAATCACGTTTCATGGATGAGTCATCTTCAACGTGGACTAGACACTCGTAAGTGAAAGGAGTGGCTCTGGCTTCTTGGCTATGTGAGCAAATAGTTTGCGCTATCAACTATAGAAGAAGACAAAATCTAACTGGATTTCAACTGCTGTAGTTTGTGAACTTATGAGTTTCATTTTAGAATAATGCTGGAATGTCCTCACACCATGCGAGTAGTGCGTTCAAAGCTTTCAATTCGTGGGAAGACCAGTATTCCCATTGACGGAACTTTGGTACAATCGCACATAGTATTTCTGATATTGCTCTGCTAGATGAAGTGATTGCATACTTGTTTTGTACCAGTTTTTCCATTCTGGTAGGATACGTGGATGAATGGCTAGTTTCTAAAATTTGTCTGTGTTTTGAATATTTATCATTATACCATTCTTATGCTGCTTACCAGTTCTTACGTACACATACAGTCATTGAATTAAAAGTTCAGGTTGTCAGGGTGCATGCAGTACCTCCGAAAGTAGCGCGTGAAATTAAGTTGGACGTAGATGCGCACACTACGTGCTGCGGTGCGTGCCCCACCCGGACTGCTCGCGTTGTTCCTACCGGGGTTGGACAGGTCGTTGCCCGAGTGGCAACCCCACTCCGGAGCCCCTTTTCCCCTGCGAGCAGGGCACCATGCTTTGGTTGGGGAATTTTAGTCGAGTTCTGTACCCCCTCCCCCCTCCCCCTTCCGGCCCTCTCTCCCTCCACATCAAATCGAGCCGTCGAGCGGGATGGGGGAGGGGCGGGGTAAATAGCACATGTGAAACAGGAAAAGCCGCGAGATAATACGACCCCCCCTCCCTCTAACAGTTTTCAGACTTTCCCCAAACTTCCTGCCGTTTTTTCCAAAATTTCAAAAGTTCCCGAAAACTTCCCTTCTTTTCCCCGAAAATTTTGCTGTCGAGCAGGGGGGTATATAGTACGCATGGAACACGGAAATCTAAAAAACGAAAAATGAAAGAGAGATATGGAAAATCCACCGCTCCTTCAACGCCAAAAAACGTCCCTTAACAACGCCCGTGAAGCGAGAAAAATAAACTATCCAAAAATATAATTTCGCCAGCGGAACCACGAACGTCATCGACGCGCAATTTGGTGTACTGTACGCAGCCGCGACAACCTGAATCTTGTCATAGAGTCATAATCCTCACAGAGGCGTGCGATGGGGTGTTGGACTGGAGCACTGACATGGCGTCCTCTCCATCAGTAATGCCACTCACGAGTGGAACAATTGGTGAAAAGGCCGTTCTGACAGGAATCAAACTCACGCTCCCTCACACGCCCAATCGTTTGCGGGGGTCACGTATGTTAAATAAATGAATTAAAAAATTGACTATGTGACGCAGTAGCCGAATGTACTGCTTTTCAGCAATAGCAAGAAAAGCCCACAAACTTTTCGAACACACTACGGTTTTACCACGTGGTGGATTCATTCGACGTACGAGGTGTGCAGGTTTACAGCCGTCATATTTCGGCCCTCAAATGAGCGCGGAAGTGAAACTGAAGGATTCTCGCGGCCGGATTGCCTTCACGTTACTGTTTGGCATGTGTTGCGACACGTTGCGTTGATGTTGCCAACACGTCTGCTACTAGACCGGCATTACCAAGTCCCAGCAGTGAAAAAGTTGATCGCGGGCGCTGTCTTTAAAGGCAGTTGGCACGATAAATCCCCCAAGACGAGTAGGATCAATACGCCTGGCAGGACGGAATTCCGCGACCCTGAGCAGGCGCTGCATAATGCCTTTTCCAAGGGAGGTGCCCTTATAAGGGCCCTATCAAGCCACAACATACCGACCCAAACGCCCGCCACGCCCACCCACAAATGGACGTTCCTGACGCTCGTATTCATTCATTTGCTAAGCAAATTATGAAGCGAAGGGATTGGTATGAAGCGGCCGTGATGCTGCATGGATATATGAGTACACATATGCAGCCGTACCTTCGGTAGCGGTTATTGGCAAGCCTATGGGAAACTCGTCCAAAATTGATTTCTAACACATTGAGAACGGAGGCTCTTTCTTCGCAGGATTTTGACCGTTTCACTCCGTTCTTTCGCCATTTCCCCACTATATAGCGCCCTACTAGCATTTTAGGCCGAGCACCAAATCATCGTGCCAACTGCCTTTAAGAAAAACAGTACAAGAACATCACACTTGAGATAAACT